AGGCACCGAGCCGGCTCAAGCAATTCTCTTGTCTCAGCCTCCTTAGTAGCTGGGACTACAGGCACCCACCACAACGCCCAGCTTTTTTTTTAGAGATGGGGGTCTCGGTCTGGCTCAGGTTGGTCTTGAACCTGTGAGCTCAGGTAGTCCACCCGCTTCGGCCTCCCAGAGTACTAGGATTACAGGCATAAGTGACCACGCCCAGCCTTTATTTTCTTAAATATTAAACATGAAGATAGTGAAGTTCCACAGTTCTCTGTGAAATGAGGGCATTACTGTATTATATCAGTGTTCTTTGGTAGGTCTTGAGTGAGAAATGAGAAATCACCTAGCACAGTATGAGGAATAGAAGAGACATTTGAAGTTACTTTCCTTCTGTATAGGTGTGACCATAATTAATTTTGAAACTCTTCTATCTTCAGTAGAAAGTTTTAGGTACAAGACAGGTGGCTAGGGATGCCATACCCATACTAAAGGGTTTAGGCTGGGTTCAAGAACAAGTCTATAATGGTTGCTCTCTCTTATTACTTGTGAGAGGGACCTGCTTCCAACTTTGGAAGTGCTCTACATTTTCTCTTTGCTCTTAAATTAAATTTCTCTTTGTTATATTAAAAAGAAAAATAAAAAGTCTATGAAAGTGAGCCAGGGTGTACAGTATGACCACCTGGTCATTACAGGTTTTGGAACAATTGGTTTACATGTATTCACACCATAGCACTCTTTCTTGGCCCTTTCCCTGTGCTTACTCCTCTGATCCTTGTCTAGCAGATAGTATAATTCAGAAAGGTGGCATTGGATCAGTTCTAGGAGTATAGGAAGAATAGTAATTGGATAACCAGAATAACAGAGCCACAGAGAGGGCCATTGGGAGCTGGGACCAACAAGGAGGTACTCTAAAAAATGTAAGTATAACTCCAGCAGTGAGGAAGGGCGAGCTAATTGTAAAGTTACACGCATGAAGTCTGTTGAGAACAAACATAAAAGAGTAATTCCTGGCTCCTTAAATGATAGTTTCTTTATAATGAGACCTGAAAACACTGATAATTCTGATTAAACCTCTGAGTTTCAGTAGCAGGACATCCCATGGAGATGAGTTTTAGAATTTATTTCTCTATCAGCTAGAATCTGGTTTTTGGTTGTGCAGGAGGTTTGTCTAGGCCAGTTAGTTAGCAGGGTAGAAATTAAGTTCCTTTGCTCTGATCAGATGATTCTGTAGTAACCTGTTTATGGAGCTACAGGAGTCTTCTCAGAGAAGACTTCAGTAGTTATTTTTCTCATGACCAGCAGTGGATCTACATACTCTGGTTAGAATAGGCTTTACAATTAAAAAGTGGTGCTAAGTAGTTACTTAATAAAGAGGGGAAATTTTGTGATGTTTCTTGGGTTTAAAGAAGAATTGATTAAAGGCTAAGAAATTGTTTTTGTCTATGGAAAAAAATCTCTTTTAAATTCAATCCAAGTAGTTTTGGGGCAAGTGCAGCAAGTGCCTGTGATTTTAACTAGATCTGTTTCCTTTTTCTAGTGAATAGTAAATAATGGAAGTAATAAAGAGGCTGACTTGCCTGGTTTGTAAAGAGATTGTGGGATGGAACAGTGTGGATGGATCTGATGTAATTAAGTCTTGTTGCCCATTATGTGCCTCCCAAGAATCCTTAATTTAAGCAAAGGTAGTTCATCTCTGGAATATACTCTGAAAACAAAAATAGCGTATTTTGATATGCATCAATTTCTAGGATTCTTTGTGGATATTTTAAGCATAGCCTATTTATTCTTTAAATTTTGAGTGCCCCGTATGTATTAGTAACATTAAAGGAACTGTCCCAGCTGTGAAAAAAGATTATGGAAGAATGATCACTAATTTTTATTGGCTTTGAACAAAGTGGACAGGACCAATTTGCATAGTTACAGGGCTGCATGGGTACTGTGCTAAGCACTCAGTCTTCACATAGCTCTGTGAAATGCAATGCTCAGAAATAGTGACCTGCCCAGGTTATAGAACTAAGAAGTGGTTATTCCTAGAGGGCTTTATCTAGGTTTTATAAGAATTGAGATGGTATTTTGCTTAAATCTTTGGGAGGGGAGAGTCTTTTCTGTGTAAATTACTATATCAAAACTCAGGTCATGAAATCATAATTTATTAAGTAGATTAACATGCACCAGATATCAGAAATTAGAATTTAGTAGCTAGGACAACTCCCCCACCCCCATGTGGAGCTAAACTAGGATTGGGATCTCCACTTTCATAAGTGTTACCTGTGGGGAGCTGTGGGGAACAGAAGAGTTTGGATCCCCTTCTGTTTTTTCTTTTTCTTTTCTTTTTTTTAAACAATAGGCATTTATTTTCTCAACAGTTCTGGAGTTTAGAAATCTAAGATTAGAGATCAAGGTGACTTCACGATTGGTTTCTTCTGAGGCAGGTGGCTGTCTTCACACTGTGTGACCCTCACAGGGTCATCCCTTGGTCTGTTCCCTTAACTACTTTTATAGTTGTAAAGTTTCTGGGAAGTTCAAAGCCATAGGAACATACTTTTAAAAAAAAAAAAAAACCCTAATTTTCTTCTTCCTCATCTCACTTCCCACCTATCCACTCTCAATAAAAATAATCACTTTTGTGAAAGAGGGAAAAAGGCATCATGAATTCAGCAAGTTCAGACAAGTGTTGCAAGCATGAAGGGCAGGAATCCACGTTTACCAGGACCATGTTGTGTTTGAGAAGAATTGTGCCCTGAGAGAAGAGAGTCCAGGTGCAAGGGCAGTGACTGAGTATCAATTTCAGTTCTCTTTGGTTACTGTGGACCCTGTGGGACCCTGGAAAACCTTTGCTATTCTGCATCTCTTGTAATATGGTATTTCTCCAAGTGAGTGAAGGAGGATTTTCTTTTTTAGCTAGGGGTTTTTTGAGCTTATCGGAAGAGAGTAAAGTATAAGAAACGGTCAAGGGACATGGTATATTTATTGCCTGGAGTAGAAGGTACCCACAGAGGCCTGGTTGTTCTGATACAATAGAATATCGCACTTGGGTATGACAGAGGACAGCCTCCCCCCCAAACAATTCTCAGTTCTTTAAATTTGAGCAATGTGTTTGAAGATCCACTTATAATAGTAAATATATATGTGGATTGAATTATGAAATTTTTGCTTTATTGTTATTGAAACTCTCATTGGCCCTTTCCCCACTGGAAATCCAGGTGGATTTTGAGGAAAAGTTCTAAGAAAAGTTCCTGGTTGTGTCAGCTGGTTTGGCAGTCTGCTAAAGAACACTTGAGATACACTCCATGTACCTGTGTGCCCCCTGGGTTTATGGGGGTCTAATCCCATGACAGTATTAAATTAATGTTCTCTTTTTGCCTTTAGGTTTTATGGTCTGAAAAGCATGTTAGTCCTTTCGTGAAGTTCTCTGAAGTTGAGTGGTCTTTGCTGGTGGAATGAATTCCATGACATTGGAGAAGTTCAGACTGTTAGGACATAGGTTATACAGAGGACCCACACCACATTGGAAATAGGTAAACTTTGTATTGTATACGTATTCATTTTTAAAAAGTGAAGATTAAAGGTTTCTCCAAATTTAGAAATATAAAACTGGAAAATGGCTTTTAAATTTCATTTTTTTCTTTACTCCTCACCCCACATATTATGCGGTTAATAGCTTTCTTCTTTGTTTCCCTCCTATCTGGAAATGTGGCTACTTTACACAACCAGCAAGGTTCTTCAGCAGGGCATAGGCGCCTGTGCTTGGCGTCACCCCCACGCCTCTGATCGCACTGTGGACACTGGGTATTGCTGGTTTCTGTGGATTGCGGATGAGTTAACAACTTCTACATGCTCTCCATTTACTGGGCAGTCAAGGTTTTTGGGGGGTAGGGCGGGAGGGAGGATGGTCTATTAGTGTGTTCTTAATCTAGTGGTATTTTCATACATATTTTGTATTTTAAAAATATATAGCTTAATTCTAATATATTTGTAACACAAACACTAGTTTGTTCAGGTAAGGCAAAGAACCAAGTAAAACTAATTCTAACTTTATTCCAATTTGAATTTTTTGAAGCTTTTATTCTTTGGGTCTTGGGACGTAGTCCAGATTGTCTTGTTATAAAATTGTAAGAAACTTGCCATCTTGCGTGAATATGGGGAGGACTCAGGAGCCTTAAATAAACTCACTAACTCACTGTTTGCCCATCTCTGCACATCTTTTCAAGAAAAAGGCAGCTTGGGCATAGGGCACAAAGCAATATACCTTGGAAGATAGTGGCTGTTTTAAAGCTTGGTCAGTCTTTTCTGAAAATAACCAAAATAGGCCTGGTACAGTGGTCACACCTGTAATCCCAACACTGGGAGGCTGAGGCAGAAGGATCTCTTGAGCTCAGAAGTTTGAGACCAGTCTGAGCAAGAGGCAGAACCTGTCTCTACTAAAGATAGAAAACTAGCCACGTGTTGTGGTAGGCACTGGAAGTCCCAGCTACTCGGAAGGCTAAGGCAAGAGGATCACTTGAGTCCAGGAATTTGAGGTTGCTGTGAGGTAGGCTGACTCCATACCTAGGCCACAGAGTGTGATTCTGTCTCAAAAAACAAAAAGAAACAAAAACCACCCAAAGTACAAAATAATACCCAAGAGGAGAGATGCAAGGATGCTTATAGCATTACAGAATTGAATGTATTATTTGTAAACACGCTTTTTTCTTTTTCTTTTTTTTTTTTTTTTTTTTTGAGACAGTCTCATGATGTTGCCCTCGGTAGAATGCGGCGGCGTCATAGCTCACAGCAACCTCAAACTCCTGGGCTTATGCAATTCTCTTGCCTTAGTCTCCCAGTAGGTAGGACTATAGGTACCCACCACAGCACCTGGCTATTTTTTGTTGCAGTTGTCATCGTTGTTTAGCTGGTCTGGGCCAGGTTTGAACCCACCAGCCTTGATGTACGTGGCTGGCGCCATAACCACCGTGCTACAGGTGGCTGAGCCTATTTGTAAACACTCTTAAGTAATGTATTCTGTCTCTCCTATTAGTCTGTTTGAATGTGTTACGGTCTGTTTTTTCCCCATTTCTGGCTCACCAGTACCCCTCTGAATGGCCCTGTGAATGACAAATGTTGTATCTGTCCATGGCCCAAATTTCTATTAGAAATTCATGATTACAGTGACATACCTAGTTAACAACTTTTATTATTCCCTTTATGAACAACTATAAGGAGTCACACCAAAGGACATTAGGGAAAAGTAGAAACAGGAATTTGAACCTAACGTGCGTAAGTTTACTTTGAAGGGATTTATAAAGTTATTTTGTTTTTGTATTTCATTTTAGTAATGAAATAGCTTAAGGAAGTGTTGATTCTAATCTGAAACTTCAGAAAATAACTCTCAATTGTTGTTTATAAAGATAGCTCCCATTTTTGAGGACTTGTAGCATTTTGCTAAGCACTTTATATGCACAGGACAGACATGATTATTGTCATATTATCAGACTTACAACTTAGGTGTTAGTCTCCTCTCTCTCTCTCGTTTTTTTAATCGAGGTTCTAATATGTAGCTAAGTTAAGCATAGTCTCAGATTTCTGGCTTGGGCCTCTGGATGAGAGGTTGTACTGTTTGAAGAGAAAATATGGAAAGTGGCACAGTGTGTAACATCTGGTTGCTTGTGGCTGTTGGAAATAGGATCTGGAGCTCAGTGGCAGCTGTCCACACTAAAGATGAGGGTGAAGGGAATTACTGACAGCCAGATGGTACTCAGAGTTACTAGTTACTCAGATTAGATGAGATTGCCCTAGGAGAGCTTATATGATGAAGAGAGGACCCAGAATCCTAGGGAACCTTGACATGTTTGAGGGGGTAGGAGAAGGAAGCAGAACAACAAGAGAAAAAAGACCCAAGTTTTTAAAAACTTAAAAATTTAGCTGGGCGTTGTGGTGGGCACCTGTAGTCCCAGCTACTTAAGAGGCTGAGGCAAGAGAATTGCTTAAGCCCAAGAGTGAGGTTGCTGTGAGCTGTGATGCCACAACACTACTGAGGGCAACATAGTGAGACTTTGTCTCAACGAAAAAGAAAAAATGCAGCAGCATCAAGGGAGTGAGTGGTATTTTAGAAGCCAGTGGACAGGAAGGAGCCAGAGTTCAGATGTATTTGGCATATGGTACTCAATACCTGCTTTCTGCAAGTAGATTTTAGTGAGTTTAAGGAGTCATAGATTTCCATTGGAAAAAATCATTTAATTGGAGTAGTCTTTCTCTTAACTTATTTTAGGCACCTTGGTGTCCTTTGAAAGTTCCTTACCTGCTAACTGTTGGGGTGCTGTAGGTCTTTGCTGTAGGACCTAGAGGTCATTGGTTCTCCAAGAATGGTTTCCCACACCACCAATATCAGCTTCACCTGGGAACTTGTTAGAAATGAAAATTATCAGGCTCGCTTAGACCTGCAGAATCAAACTCTTGAGAATGGGACCTTGTCATCTGTGTTTTGATGCTTTCTGAAACTTGAAACCTGATATACGGTGCTTCTGCACCATGTGCTCCTTACATGGTCTGTTAGTGTGGATTGAGTTATATCATGCGTTGTGCCCAGACTTTCACATTTATCTCTTTGGTTCAGTTCTTCTGAGGACCAGGTCCGTAGATCCAGCTGCCTGTTACTAATCTTGATTGTGATGTGCACCCTTTCCTAGGCTTGGTAAGGCATTACCATCCACCTAGATATTCAAGATAGAAACCAAAGCAAGCTGAGGTCCACTCTGAGGCACAAGAACTAATAAGTTCTAAGCACATTGCAGTGTACTGGCAAAGACTGTACACACACACACATACAGGCAAAAATAGTGGTAATTTTAATTGCATAATGAATAAATACCATATAAGTTAAGAGATGGATTATTACTTTCAGAAAGTCTAAATTTTCAGAACATCCTGAGTGTGATTCTAGAGTTTAAAGGTGAAGTGTAAGTATAGTTGACTCTTAAACAAGTGACTTTAACCGCACAGGTCCGCTTTGCAGATTTATTTCAACCAAATGCTGATTGAAAATAACAGTATTCATGGGCTGCAAAAGCCATGTATTCAGAGGGATAACTTCATATCTTTGGGATCTGCAGGGCCCACCTGCAGCACTTGAGGGTGAGTGGATTTTGGATATGTAAACATCCAGTTCTCCACATATACTGAGCAACAGTTGTACTATGAAACAAGTACATCATCTGGTGCTCCACCAAAGAAACTTGTGTTTAAATATATAATGTATTTGATTACTATATAGAATTGAATATACAAAACTGTATTATAATTGATAACCAATTTCCAGGAAAGAATGGGTGGTGGAATGTCATTTGTAAAATGGGAATAATAACCATCTAAACATTAAGAAGTTATTAGGATTAAGTGCACTGATTTATTCAAGGACTTACAGTAAGCAGCAGTGCCTGGCACATAGGTGAATCAGTAAATATAATGTGTGGTATTCCTATCTCTTCTCCCTTGTCACTTGACTCCAGCCATTCTTGAATTCTCCTACTTATAAGTGGCTATCCAGATGAGCAGCGAACTGTCATGCTTTAAAATGCTTCATGCTTCCGGGTATTCACTTAACCCTACTCAGATTTCTTAGATTAGGTTGTGGTTCTGTTTGTTTCCTTAATACTCTGTACTTTGCAGTGCTTTATAAACATAGTAACTCCTATTTTTTAATAATAGCTTTTATTGAAATACAGGTCAGGTGTGGTGGCTCATACCTGTAATCTTAGCACTCTGGGAGGCTGAGGTGGCTGGATCACCCTGAGCTTAGAGTGAGACCTCGTCTCTATTAAAAATAGAAAAACTAGCCTGGTGTTGTGGTGCACACCTGTAGTCCCAGCTACTCGGGAGACTGAGGCAAGAAGATGGCTTTGAACCCAAGAGTTTGAGGTTGCTGTGAGCTGTGATGCCACAGCACTGAACTTAGTGCGATGGAGCAAGACTCTGTCTCAAGAAAAAAAGAAAAAGAAATGCAATTCATGTACCACACAATTCACACATTGGAAAGCACAGAGTTCCATGTACTGTCAGAGTGGTGTGCTCTCACTACGGTCACATACAGAATGTGGGCTCAGGGAGGGCAGCACCATTTGCTGTCGTGAAGACAAAAAAGAGTTGTGCTCATTAGCAGTCACTCCTTCCCCACTGCCGCCAGCCCTAGGCAACCACTGAATCTGCTTTCTGTCTCTGTAAGTTTTGTCTGTTCTCGACATTTCATGCATGTAAATGGAACCATACAATAAGTAGTTTTCTGTGTCTGGTTTCTTTCACTTGGTATAATGTTTTCAAAGTCCATTCGTGTTGTAACATTGTTAGTACTTTTGGTGGGTATATACTATTCCATTATGTGTATATACCAGAACTTATTTATCCTTTCACTAGTGGATGGCCATTGGGTTCTTTTCACTTTGGGGATATTATAAAATAATGCTGCCATGAACATTTATGTATGAGCTTTTGTGTGTGGACATATGTTGTCATTTCTCTTGAGGATATATACCTAGAAGTGGGATTG